GGGACTAGTTAAATACTTCAGAAAAGGCAGACACGTAGGACAATATGTCTTTTGTTGGTGGTTTTCTGTTGGCTTGGGAAATAGCACTTTTTTTAATATCAGAACAAAAAACTGATTTTGATAAAATCTTAATTTCTCTTCTGAAATGACAGATCTAAACGAGAATGCTCTATTATAAAAAGATGTTAAAGTATATTTATTTTACTGATGCTAATCACACTTGGTGTTTTTAATTTGCCTTTGGCTGTTTTGTATAGGTTGTTCACACTTCTGTAATTCTTCACTGATTTTGACTAATGTAAACCATTTTATCACTTGGTTTCTCTGTCTTAGTCTCTCCACTCCTACTTCCTTGGTTGTTTCTTTCTGCCATTATGACTACAACTTGTGTTACTGTTTTGGTAGGACTTGTATCTGCCATGTATTACAGGGGTACCACGGCAGTTTCCACCTTCAGATGCCAAAAACATCTGTTTCAAATAAGCTCAACCTTGGCAGCTTGATCTGTTTCATTAATACAACACTGTATCATAAAGACATGTGACATGGGAGGAAGGATGGCTGGAAGGAAACAGAAGAGAACTTCAGTTTGAAGCAAAGGAAGGGTAAAAATTCTATTGCTGTGGCGAATGGACCAGTGTATTCTCATGGTGCTGTTTCTCTATTAGAGAAGATTAAGTTTTCATGGCAAGTTATGTATTTTATTCGAATATCTGCAACTGTGTCTGCATAGCAAAAGCTCAGTCTGAACTCTCAGTGAACTAAAAAAAAAAAAAAAAAAAAAAGCCACAGCGTTTTAGACAGTAATGCTTCAGGTCTGACGTATCCTGACAGCACAAATGGAGTCGGGCGCGTTGTAGGATCCCACAGCGAAGCACACGAAAGCAGTGAGAGTTCTGCATTCCCGGTTACCATGCAGCTGCTGCTGCGGCTTTTGCAAAACCCTGTTGTGGTGTCGGTTCTCAGAGCTTCCGCTTTGTGAATAATTATCCTCCGAGGGCGGAGGGGATGCTTTCAATTTAAAGCCTGTTGTCTGAATTTTCGGCTTCTGCCGTTATTGACGCGAGGCGGTAGGGATCGCTTCCCAGCAGCGTCTGCTTCAGCCCCGTTGTAGTTCCGCTCGAGTGTGATGGTCTCGCCTCAAAAAACTGCTTTTAGAAACCAAGAAAACGCGCCTTAGCCTCAATTGTCAACAGGATGCTAGGGAGGGTGCCGTAACCCTGACGGCAGAGCCCGCCCCGCCCCTCAGCTCTCCCCGGCCGCGTTTCCCTCACGGGACGCTGGGGCGGGGCGCACCGCCCACGGCCTCGCAGTGTTTACAAACACACGTCAGTCAGCCCCGAGCCCGCCTCAGCGCCCCGAGCGCCGCCGCCATCAGCCGCTGGGCGCGGAGCAGGATGGGTAGGAGGGCGGGAGCGCGGGGCGGCCGGCTGGAGGGGCGGCCGTGCAGGGCGGAGCTGCGGGCGGTGCCTCCACAGGTGGAGCGCGGCGGCGCAGCCCGGGTTTGGCTGTGGCGGAGCGCGCTGCTTTCCAGCCCGAGGTCTGTGGTACGCTGTCGAGTAGGGGTGTGTGATCACTCCGCCGCTCCACCTCCAAAAAAACTGCCCGTGAAAGCAGGAGGGACGATTATCCGGGTGTTAGAATCGCGGCGTCGTTTAGGATGGAAAAGAACCTCAGGATCAGACGCTTCGAAAAGTATTACGCTTTCCAGTCTTTCTGTTATTAAGTTATGAGATCTGAAAGACTCCTGGAGGGGAAAAAAAAAGCCTATAAAAATAACTGTTCTGAAGTCAAATATGTTCTATTAAGTCAAGAATTGACCGTATTTGACCAGGGAGCTTCGCACCGTCCCATCATTCAGTATTTAACGCTTTCCATTGACAGAAAATCGCGTATGTGAGAAAATGACTAAAGCCTGAGTCCCCATATAGCTTTACTGATGGACACAGGAGCAGTTCTGTGTGGCTGTCACTCAGAAACGTGGCTGTGTATGGCAGCAGCACGGAGGTGTTGGAGGGATTTTTTACAGTGGCGTTCTCACCTAGAAAAGGGAAAACACCGTGCTTGGCAGATGTTGAGGAAGGAGGTATCGGTGTTTGAAGTTTTCTTCATTCAGTTGAACAGGTTTTGATAAGTGCTTACCTTGTTAAAAGTGCACGTGAATGCTACCGAAAAGTGGCTTTGCAAATTAACTTTGTAGGGTTGTGTTTAACAGAACTCAGATCTCACTGGAAGCTTGTGACACTCGCTGTAATAAAAAGATTATGAATAGCCTCTAATGGCCTTTAAAAGCTGTTTAATGCTGGTTGTGTCAAAGCAAGCAATTAAGGTCATTTAATCTACTTGATTATTCATCAAGTTCCTCTAGTGGTATTCCGTGTGTTTGGATCAGTGGAAATGTGTGCCTTGAAGGCTGCCTCAGCACTTTGTAGCCCCCAGTGCAGAGCACACGTAATACAAAAGCTGAAGAAGTAAAACCCTTTGGTTATAGGACAGCTTAGTAGCCCCAGGCATAGGCAGACTGTATGTGGACACCTCTGCATTGATACAACATGGGCTTCAAGAAAAAAGAGAGCATGCAAAAAGAAGTCATTTAAAGCAAGTTTGATCATTAAAATTTTATTAATGGGTTCGAGCTTATGTAGTGCTTACATATTTCTATTAAACCTCAGATTGTTGTGAGGCTAGAGGATGAAGTAAGGTTTGCTGATTCTCAGTTTCTATGGTGCAAACGTGCTTCTGTATAATTTGTGAGCTGGGTAATGTGGCCGCTTAGCACAAAGGGCCCAGAGTGGAGAAGTGCAGATAGCTGTGAGACCTTGTTTAGCTCCAGTGGCAGTGTCAGCACCTCAGCAGATTATGTTTTGGTCGGTAAGTTGGAGTCCTAGTTCTGTTCTGAATAGTCAGGGAACCTGTAAGGCAGATCCTCAAAACCAACAGGGGAAAAAATGGTGGAACTGTATGTATTTGCTATGCAGCTCCAACATAAGGACCAGGTTAGGTTTAAGCAGTGGGATTCACTGGGACATAAAGATCCCGAACAGCCCAGAACTGTGTATAATATGAATGGTTCTACTGCTCTGCTTCCAGCTTTATATGGCACAAAACAGAACAAGGGAGCAGGTTAGAATGACCTATAAGGACCATTTTGCATGGTCACAAAGAGAATGACTAAATCTGCACCAATTTAGGAAAACACTGGAAGAAATATCTCAGCAAGATCTTAAAGTGAGTTTTACTTCTGACGATTGAATTTGTTGTTTGCTCTGGTAATACAAAAGTAAACAGACTTTTTGTTGGTGTCATAGAGTGCTGTACTGACCACTGGATACCTGAAAAGCGCTTTCAGAGCGCGTTACAAAACTATTTCTCATTATGTTTCATTGGCTGTGTTCTCAACACTGTTCTGTTACGAAAAGGACTAGTATCAGCTTTATGAATTTAGTATCAGACATTAATAATAAATTAATACAAATTAAAAGTAGCTGCTATTCACGGAGCAGCATTAATGCTTTAGTGAACTGAGTAACTGCAGGGTGGTAGCAAGTGCTGCTGGCCCAATGGGAATGCACCTGGCTGCTATCCCAATTTGCCTGTTATCTCTCTCTGGGGGTGTGCAGTTGGTGATGTTCAGCAGGCATACCCCTTCCTTCCTTCCCCCCCCCCGGATCCCTAACCAATTGTTAGCAGAGCAGGCACAACATTACACTGGAGCCAATTGATTTAAAAGAAAAAAAAGAAGTTGAGAATCTGGGAGTCATAACTGGCTCTCTGATGCTGCACATTTTCTGTGCCAAACATATGCTGGTATAGAAGAAAGTCTGATTCTAAATAACAAAGTGTGGGCAAGATTTAAATGAAGTTTTCCATAAAAGAAACCAAATCTCTCAATGTTGCTATGTTTTACTGTGACTGATGTCTCAGTGCAGTTCGATAACGGCACTTAAGCAGCGTGTTACTGTATTGTAGTTGCTTGTAATGAGTGCTGATTGAATCCTGGGAGTTTGGCTGGACTTTGCAGGTAGCATGCACTGTGTGCTGTTCCAAAGCATGCATGTAAGATCATTGCACTTAAGAATCTGTTGACTCAAATGTGCAAAAATAGAAGTTTGTGTTTCAAATTTAGTACTGGATGCTTGTTATTGAGTTGATTGGTTTTGAGTATAAAAGTGTTTTCAGTAATTATTTCCAGTGCCCGCAGAGCACATGTGTACCACTGAAAGAAACGTTTGTATGTCCTTTGAGTTAATAAATGATGGTGGATGTCAGTAATGTTTAAAGAAAAAATGAAAAGAGAACAGAGCCAAACACATCTTAAGCAACTGCCTGGAAATACCGTGAGGCTATCTGGGCCGTTACAACAAAGTGTTTGTGTACATTTGTTTATAGGCATGATTTCTAGCACCTTCTTTCACCACGTACAGGCAGAAGTCCAATCATTTACTTCTCAATTCTGACAGTGCCTGGTCTTTGTAAAGAGAAGCGTGCAAACATTTTGAGAGGGTCTTCATCAGGTAAACTGTTCACAACGCAGAGGCTACATTTGAGTATGTTTAATGTCTTCTGTTTGCTAACCTGTAGTATTTTAAACTGAAAGCTGCTCATGTGGATTCTTGATCATTTTTTCCTACTTCCCTCTGCCATTTTCCCTGCGCTGTGCTGTGACCCTAAGGGAGGAATCTACAATACTGTTACAGCAAACGGTGTCTAATTCTGTTTTGTCGTGTCAGATCACTTGCTTGCTTTTTTGTGCCCTACTTCTTAGGAGGAACTAGGACTGTGGCAGGTGTACTCACAAATACACCGACATGCCTGAAACTTTTAGAGCACGGTGGCTGCATTGTATTAGGAATTGTTCAAGATGTGGCATTACCTTTCTTTTAAGCTAATGTTTACAACGCTTTCAGATATGTTTGGTTTATCAGACCTTTTCTTTCCCTCCCTTTCGTGATCGAGGCTTTCCAATCACGGCTTTCCAAGCGCTAACCCACCCTGCAGCAATGTTTGGGTACTCGCGTTTATTTATTGTCGTTATTACCCGTGCTCTGCCGTTTCTGGAAGTAACGCTAGCGGACGGCGTGCGCCCCGGCTGCCGCCTGGAAAGCACGTCGGCTCGCTCCCCGAGCTCCGCGGGCGGCGCAGCGGCCGCGCTGCGGGACCCGGCACGGGCACCGCCCCGCGCGGAGAGGCCGAGGGCAGCGGGCGGCGGCATCCGGGCCCAGCGCAGGTGCCGGAGCCGCGGGGGCTCCGCCGGCCGCCCGGGGCGGGCAGGGGCCGCGGGGAGGAGACGGCGGTCAGGCGAGCCCCGCCGCGCTGAGAGAGCGCGCTCCGCTCCCGGCCCGGGGCTCGGGGCCGCGTTCCCCCGGCGCGGCGGACGAGGGTCGCTCCGCTCCCGGCGCGCGGATCTGCTCCGCGTTTTCCGGGCCTTTCCCGTGCTCTCCGCGCCCGACACTCGAACGTGCTGCGCGGCGCAGGCCGCGGCACCTCTCGCCATTGGCCGCTCCGCCATAGCCCCATGGGCGTGCGGGCCGCGCATTGGCCCGGCGCCGCCGTCCGTCAGCGAGCGGCGGAGTGCGTCAGGTTGGGTTGAGCGGCGGCCCCTTCCCTGCCTGTGTCTGGCGGCGGCTGCGGCTGCGGGGCCGGTGCGGGCGGAGGGGCGCAGCGGAGGGCGGCCCCGCTCCCTCGCTCGCTAAGATGGCGGCGGCGGCGGCGGCCGTGGCGCGGCTGGAGGGCCGGGAGTTCGAGTACCTGATGAAGAAGCGCTCGGTGACCATCGGCCGCAACTCGTCGCAGGGCTCGGTGGACGTGAGCATGGGCCACTCCAGCTTCATCTCCCGGCGCCACCTGGAGATCTTCACCGCCGCGCCCCCGCCGCCGCCACCGGCCGGAGCGGACGGGCCGCCGCCTCCCGCTCAGGGGGACCCCGCGGCCGCCGGCGGGGGTGACTTCTACCTGCGCTGCCTCGGCAAGAACGGCGTCTTCGTGGACGGCGTGTTCCAGAGGCGGGGGGCGCCGCCGCTGCAGCTGCCCCGAGTGTGAGTACGGCGGCGGCCGGGCCCGCCCCGCTCTCCCCCGTCGCCCCGGGGCCCGCCGGGCCCGCCCGCCCGCGCCGCGCCTTCCCGGGCTCCGCGGGGTGGTGCCGCCGCTCGGCCGCGCCGATTGTCCGTGCCGCCGGCCGGCACGCGGTCGCCGTGACAGGCGCGGAGCCGTGCCCGAGGCCTCCTTCCCCGCCGCCCCTTCTCCCCCTCCGCCCGCGCCGCCCGCCCTCGGACGTGCCCTTCCCGCTGGGCCCGCATCCCGCGCACCCACCGCCCGCTCCGTGCCCCCGGCGGTGCGGCGGCGCAGCCCCCCCCTCCCGGACCCCGCCGTGCTGTGTCTGGCACGCGGCGGTGTCTGTTGGGAGATGGGAGCGAATCGGGCTGCGGCAGCGCTCGGAGGTATTGTAATTAGCAAACAGAATCGGATACACCCTTGAGTATTGTTTACGTGCTTCAAAGGAAACCGGTCGAGTGGTCGTCCGCATATCTGGGATTTTTGAATGTGAGACCGGTGCTGAGCAGATCTTGTGACGCCCTTCGTGCTTTTACTGAACGTTGAGGGCTTGTTTTGTGTGTGGGATCGCCTTCTGATTTTTGTGGCAGTTTCTCTTTGCCTGATTGTGACATTGATTTTTTTTTGTTTGTTTTAATGACTACACTGAATCTTCCACATGAGATGCTTTCACTGTCCTGGTGCTTTCTGTTCCCTTACGTGTCAATAAATGCATCAGGAGGTTTTAAGTGGTAATACATTCCTATACCATTAGCAAATATTAACTGTCTTGACAAAATATTTTCCTAGAGGACTATGTGAGGCCTACCTACTCTGCTGGAGAGTTTATTGGGCTGTAAATAAGTAATCCTTGTTTTGAGGAGTCTCGCACAGGAAAAGTGAAAGTGTTTTGGTTGGGGGCAGTTTTAGTTAGCTCGACTAAGAGATATCCACAAGGTTACAAGTGTGCTACCTTGACAGAAGGCGTGCTGTCAGTGTCAGCTCTTACCATGCCCTGCAAGTTTTTAAAACTTCTCTTAGCACTTTGATGATGTATATTTTCCACTTTGACATCTTGGTGTTCGTTTCCACAACTGGTTTCTCTGTAAAAAGTCAAATTCTTACCTTTTTGCTTTCTAGGAAATGCTTCTTCTGAAAAGCTTTAACAGTGCCAGTCTGTGTGGAGTTGTATAATCGCGAACACACTTGGATGACTTGTTTGACCTTTAACTGTAACTTCTATTTTTGCTTTCTGCTTTTTAATGTTAATAGTCATTTGCCATGTGGTTAATTGATATTTTGTTCTAAGGCATTTATGAGGTACAATTTAAATACTTCTTTTTATAAAAGGTTTGGTATTTAATACACTCATTGCAGGCGAGTCCTTGTGAGTTATATATGTTCATTGCAAGCAGCCTGAAACTAGCTTGAGAAATGTAGTCAGGAGCACACAGGAAAAAGTGCGGCTGCTTCTTGCTGTCCATGCAATTACTGACTTGTAATTTTATCTTTTTTTCTTCCAGTGTTGTCGCTTTATACAGAGAAAATGAACACGATGAAAACTTTTGTGCAGTTAATTTCTTATTTGTCATGAATATACGTAGGTGGTGCTTAAAGAAACGACATCTGCTTGAAACGTACCGTGTTCAGTGATTACACCATTTCTTAGACTGCATGCTTGCAGCTTTCCGTTTCGAGATCTGTAAGCTGTTTAAAGTAGTTATCTCCTGGTTACAAAATGTAGGTGTGATCTTCCTGTAAATAATAGGTGGCATACCTTCAGTGCTGGCTGGAAACAATGGAGCAGTGTGTGTGCTGAATGAAGTAGGATTTCTTTGGTCAACAGGCTTAGGGATGAATTTTATCTTCAGGGGCTTGAGATCAAATGCTCACTTACTGCTTTTTCAGAAATATAAAATAGTTTATCAAAGTCACAGCAGAGTGGTATAGAGAAATTGTAGTTTCATATTTTCAAAGTTCTTGTTTTTTATTGTTTAGTTTTCCAGCATAGGAGTCTCCAGGCAAATTCAAAGCGGTTATTATCTGCTTATAGCAAATCATTACTGTGAACTACTGATGACTAATATTGTTTGTAGCACTGTTCTTGATTTTCATTGTAGATTTAAGTGTTCAAACTGAAGATGATCTCCTGGATTTTAAGGCTTAAACTTAGTTACAGTGTAATGAAAACGTTAACTAACAACTGAAGGTGGCTGGAAAGAAAGCAGTTTGAGTGCGAGTTGAAGATTGATGATTGCTATCCTCAGCTCAAGTAATCACTGGATCTATTTTTGTTGTTGTTTACTTCTGCTGTGCTGCCAGTAGTATGCTTTGCCTATGACTACACGATCATTTGATTTTTATTTTTTCTAATGGCAAATGAGGTTAAAAAAAAGAAGGCCTGGGTGGCCTCTTCTTTGTATTTGTTTTGAAGTGATCTTGGAGACTAAGAATGAAGAGTCATCTTCTGTCACTAACAAATAGGTGACTCCAAGCAAAATGCTGTTTCAGACTTGAGCTGTCTTATTTATTTAATTGTCCCTAATAATTGCACGTCATTCGTGTTTCCTTGGCCACCTTTGATTTCAGCACAAGGTTTAAACTTGATTTAATCTAATAGTGTTATTGAACTTCCTGATTTTGGAAGGGATAAAACAGGAATACAGCATTGTGGTCTCCTGCAAACCACACATTTTAAAGTTCTGGGGAAATTAAGTTATCAGAGTCTACTTATATATATTATAATAGAGACATTTTTCTTTCTAAAAATATAAATCCCATAAACAGAGAATTGCTGTACATTAAGATAACTATTTTGGTCACTATTTTTAATGCTTCCCTGGAAACATCACTGTCAGTGCAAATGTTTAAGTTTCCACACAGGAGGGTAGCATCAGTGGGAAGCGTGTTTTTGTTTTTCTGATTCTTGACAGTCTGACACACGTCCTTGTCTATGTACAAACCAGCTGTAATCTCATTTGATGAATAAAATGGAGGCTAGGGAAAAAAAAAAAAATTGCAGGTTTTTTTTGTTCATGTCCATTAAGAAGCTCTGTGGTCAAGGTCATAGTGCACCAAGGCATGGGATAGAACAAGTCCTGTAACCTCATCTAAATGCATACAAACCCAAGCAGATCAGTTGGTCTTTTTACAGCTGCCTTCAAGATCCATGGATTATCTCTGCTGCAGTTTATAAAGTCCACATTTTTAATTGATTTCACTCAATTCTTTTCAAGTTTCCCCTGACTTCAGTGGGGGCATTGTTCAGATGTATTGCTAGGTAAATAATAACATCGATACTTGACTTTTGAGGTAATTGGCTTGAAAAATACCTTTTATGCTGGGCACAGCAGCTGCTAGTGACAGCGCTTTTATATACAGCTTTTGGAGAGGCAGGGTTCCAGACAGATGTAACAGCACAGCTGGAGAAAAACAGACTGACTTTTGAGTACAGCTTAGCTAGAAAAAAGGTTGGTTGTCTGTGTGCCGCTCACCCCCTGCCCATTTCTTCCACCCCTTCGTGTTGCAGTCAGTAGTTTGTGTGTATGTTGTACGTTGACATTTGAAATTAAAAAGGTCTGACCTAGTAAGCTCGTGTCTTCCAAGAGACGGTTTGTTCGTTTGGGAAAAAAAGCACATATTTTGTATGTTAATGATTACTTTTGGCTTTGATTTTGTGAAAGGAGAGTTGGGAATCGTAACCAAGGCGCCATTAATGAGAGAACAGCAGACCTAAGTTGGAGCAAAGATGCATCCAGCCTGTTACTGCCATGAAGAGCAGTCAGGAGACAGTGCTTGGGGAGCAGTGCAGAAAGGGACGGAGGCATGTGGCCGTGCTTCCTCTGCATATTCTTCTGGATCCCAGGCGGTTCAAAACCGTGTGTCACAGAATCACAGAATGGCCTGGGTTGGAAGGGATCTCAAGGATCATGAATCTCCAACTCCCCTGCCACATGCAGGACCACCAACCTCCCCATTTAATACTAGACCAGGCTGCCCAGGGCCCCATCCAGTCTGACCTTGGACACCTCCACAGCCTCTCTGGGCAGCTGTTCCAGCACCTCACCACTCTCTCTGTGAAGAACTTCCCCCTGACATCCAACCTAAATCTTCCCTCCCTCAACTTCAAACCATTTCCCCTTGTCCTCCTGTTATCTACCCTTTCAAAGAGTTGACTCCCCTTCTGTTTGTAGGCTCCCTTTAGGTACTGAAGGCTGCAATGAGCTCACCCCGCAGCCTTCTTTTCTCCAGGCTGAACAAGCCCAGCTCCTTCAGCCTGTCTTTGTAGGGGAGGTGCTCCAGTCCCCTGATCATCTTCGTGCTCTCCTCTGGACCCTCTCCAACAGCTCTCTGTCTTTCTTGTACTGTGGGCTCCAGACCTGGACACAGTACTGCAGATGGGGCCTCAGAAGAGCAGAGTAGAGTAATATAGTCTTTGTGTTGTTTTTAAATGAATTGGTAATGTTTTTTTGCATCTCTGTACCCACATCATCCTTTTGCAATGAGTTTCTCATCTTGGAGCCAATGATGGGGGGAAAAAATACCTTCTTTTCAGAGCTTTTTGAATTTTACTCCCAGTGATTTCATTTGCTGCAACTTGATTTAGCTCCTTTATAATCAGAGGCAGTAAAAAATTGTCCCATTCTGTCATTCATTTCATAGAGTTCTTTGTACTTGCTAAATATAGGAGCTTTTAGAGTAAACCATGTAGCGTGCGTCTCACTTCAGCTTATCATCTGTTGACTAATAAGTAGTAGGTTTCCTACTGGTGGAAGCCAGTAGATTGTGAATAAAGATCAAGTATATTCACTAAGTAAACTCCTTGGGAAAATTTATTGCGTTCAACATTACTCAGGCAGGAAATAATGCAACAGATTGTAGAGAACCTCTAAATAGATGAGTGCACTTCTTTTTTAGTTGCTTAAATTCCATGCAGAGATGTCATTGCTGTATGCATTGTGGTCGCATGCGTGCTCAGTGAACGTTTCACTCTGGAAACAGCTCA